ATCTTTCTCATATGAATCAATAATTTCCAAAAATCGGCGAATGTTATCCGCAACAACTCTTCTATGAATAAACCCTGTTTGGTCTTCATGGATTATTCTAGAGATTACCCCCTTTTACCCGTAATGAAGGACATTTGACCAAGATACGAATATCACAGCAAAGGAGAGTTAATGGTCGCCAGTTTTTTTAGAAATACTGGATCCTTGTCTTTTCCGCAAGAATCTTGTTTAAGGAGTAGTGTCAAAAGACCTTCTCGCTGAGTTGTTGTCATTTTTCCACTTTCGAACGAATAATTATAACACTTAAGCATGTGGTGACCTAAATGTGGAAAAATACTTTGTATACATCAACGGGTATGCCATCTAAACCAGGAGATTTGCCAGTCGAAAATGAATTAATAGCCTCGATCAACTCTTCTTTTGTGATAAGACCTTCACATGTATCTCTCTCCGAGCTGTCTAATCGTGAATCATACATATCAGGATAAAAAATAGTGGAATTATTTTTAGATTCCATGAATTCCCTTTCAACACTGTAAAGATATGTGTAAAAATCCACCTGCTCATTTAATATATCCTGTGGATCACACAGCACGGTATTTTTTGGTGTTAATAATTTTGTGACATTTTTTCGGGAATAATTTCTATGTAGGAGATTTAAAAAATATTTAGTTAACTAAATATTAGCACGCATTACAAGACCAGAGGCATTTGCAGAATATATTGCTTCTAATTCCCCTTGTTTTATTGACAGCTGTTGCATAATATCGGTAGGCGCAAGGTTGTGAGAATCAACAATGGCTCGCAGTTTATGTATCTCTTTGATAAGTGTGTTTTCTTTTTCCTTATACTTTTTATGTCGCATAGAACTATACTTTATGCAGAAACCTCTGAAAGAACATTTGAATGCGTCCCATACATTATGTGGATTGGCTGACCCTTCATTCATCTCGAAAAATTCTGTAATAAATTGCTTGGCGGTGTTGACAAACTCGCGATCATTTAAATGAGATAAATTAAAATGCCAATATCCCTTGCCGCGGGGGTGGGCATTAGTTTCAATTCCAACCTTGATTAAACAATGATCAGAACGGTAACTTTCACCAATAGTTGCCGTGGTAACCCTCGACACAAATGAAAAATGAATCAACATGTAATCTATTCTACTTGCTTGCCTACCTCTTCTCCAGGTGTAACGTTTAGTCAATTGATTACGTAAGCGCCAGATGTCGTGAACATCCCACGCTAATAATAACTTGAGAATACTTTCCCGTGATCTTGGGTGATAACTGTCTGTATTAGTCCCTGCTCGATCCATGCTTTCATTCAATGTTGTATTGAAATCTCCACAAAAAATCACATTCGGCGATTGATCGCAAAACCTTTCTAAAGTGACACTCAGATTATCAATAAAGACGGCATTATCCTCATTAGGAGAGTACACATTAACTAAAATAAAACAGTAATGTCTACCATAATTCACCTACCATTTGAATCATTTCTACTGCTGTGAACTACATATGAACAACACTTTCTAAAAAGAATGGCTACACCACGCTGATTGCTAGTACCATGATTAAAAAGGATATCCCCATCCCAGTCATTTTTCCACATATGCTCATTAGTAATAATAGAGTGGGTTTCTTGTAAACAATATATACTGCTACATTTATCTCGTAACCATGTGAATATTTCCCGTCGTTTTTGATTATTCGCTAATCCATTTCAATTATATGACATTATTTCTATTTTTTTCAGACCCAACAATCATGATAACATAATGTAAAAATAAAATGTACCCACATTATCTTGATATGTGGTTTTGTAAAGCTTGTTGCAACAATAAAATGATCAAATATGTACTCACTGCTAATAATGAAGTAGACCCGCAGAAAACAAAAACGTGTATAAACTACATATCTGTAATTGACAATAAGGAAATTATAACACAATAAACAAAATAAAATACAAACAAAGTTTAAACATAGATTATACCAACTTGACCGCACCTGAGAGTCACCAACAAAAAGAGAAAAAATAAAATGGCGTACCCAACCTTTTTACTAACATTACGTGCCCATTACGTACAAGCACGTGTTATTCCAACCTCCGCCAATACTGGTCTAACTTTTATGGGAGCTGTGAAAACAGTAAATTGCTATTAACAGTACTAGTGCTAGTATCATAAAATGTCTTATATAATAGCTTCAATACGTTTACTAATTTGTCTATCAACAATAAGCAAAGCGCAGGTATCTCTCGCTGGAACTCGAATTTGAACACGGGCACCGTCTTTTTTAGCGCTGTAGTATGCCGGCAAATTAAAGTTTATTGCGTGCTTGCTGCAACAGTATCGGCAAGTGTTCGTGTACAATTATTTTCTGTCTTTCAATAAATTGCCACGGCCAAGAATTTCATCTCTATCATTACGAGAAATGCATCAAATAATAACTGGGGGATGTGGACGGTCAGCCGACGATTTATTTAAGCGGCGGACTTGCATATTGTTCACTGACGGTAATTTCAATGCCTCAGATAACATCTTTCGTGTTTTCATTTCTATGTCTTCGCCTACTTCATAGTTTATGCCTCGAATGATAACATCATTCTTCCGACTATATCTATCCAATTCGACCTGATCTGATATTCTATTGCGACGTTCTTTGTCCAACGTGCCACGTAGTGCTTCAATCTCGGATTCCATAAATTTACAATTCGTGTGCAT